ACATAATATTATTTAATATATAATATTTATTTTAAACATATTTTAAATATGTTAATATAACATATTAACATATTTTATATTTATTAACATATTTTATATTAACCCCCCCCACACACACACCTCCCTGAAATGAATTCTTGTAGGTTGGGATGTCTGTACATGCAAAACACGGTGTATATGTTATGAATCTTACATGAAATTCACCTTCATCACAGTGTAACTGATTGTAATGGGAATACGTGCATCAATGCAACCTGTTTTTAGCTTTATTACTAGCTCGTTAACGAATCAAATTCAATATATTTTAAACTTTAACAGTATCGATATGCTAGCTTGATAGAGAGTACTTCCAGCCATGTTAGTTATTTATATTCATAATGATAAAGTTTGGTATTTTATTACATGCTGTCTGACATGATGTCACTACATGCACTGCGCCCCTCTCCACTCTGTGCTGGTAAGCACGCAAGTGTGTAATCCATCAGCCGGAAGTTGAAGCCTCCGGGGGCCATCATTGTAGCCGAACTTCACCTGCTGTTAGCATCCCATTGACTCCCATTCATTTTGGCGTCACTGATTGGTCAGACAGAATCGTCACTACTAGCGTCATTGGATTTGCGACACGAGACACTTTTTTAGCAGTATTTTTGTTTTGCTGCCATCAGCCTCATTTTAAACACATTTTTCCGTCTAGCAGTTAAAAACAACCACATACCGAGAATCAGGAACACCATCCCCTCGATAGTCTCCATTGTTCCTGTGTTGTGGGTTTGAAAATGTGGCGCTTTTAAGATGATGTCATGGCAGTAGAGGCGCGTGCAAATAACGATCAGTCCCACACACTTTGAAGGGGTACTACTGCAGTGGAAACGCAAAGCGAGCCGAACTGTTCCGCGCCGAGTCGAAGCGTACTGAGCCGAACCGTACCGTACTATGCAGTGGAAAAGCGCCACTAGTTCAAAGAGCCTATTCTGTATTTGTATTTGATTAAAGTAAAAAAAAAAAAAAATCTGAAAATGTCAGAACTTACTTTGTCCACAGTATAATCAACAAAGAAAACTCAGTTATTCAGGTCACTACACAATGATTAGGTCAAACATGATCACCACTAGATGACTTTTGTTCTTTGCTTGTCAGGCTCAAGAGCCCAACTGAGGTAAACGCTGACCACATAATGTTTTTTTTTTTTTTTTTTTTTTTTTTTTACAATTACAAGCCTATGTAATTTACAACTATGAATGGAAACGGCCCAAGGGCAACTTTTTTTTAGGACGCACTGGGGGGAAAAAACCTTGTGCAACAATTAAAAACAATTTCTTTTTTTTTCTTGTCTTCACCGACTGGCTATTGTTGTAAAATAAGAAATTTAATTAAAAAATAATAAATGCAATCAAATAAAAATAAAACAGACTGCAAGTGATATCACTTGTGGAAGTGTAGGTGTCTAACAGTTCTAGCCTGAAAATTCAAGTGCATGTCGGCAGTTAGACCCTTTTGCTTTCAGTAGCTGTGGTCAATGGCATCAGAGCTAACAGGTTTTTAGGAAGTTTTATTCATTTATAGGCATCTTCCCATTGTTTTGTTGAAATAGTATTTTATTTTCAGAGTCATGCTTGTAGTGTTAAGGGGTTTGAGAGGAAAGGATGTGACGTTGGAGGGGGGCTGGAAAGAGGGCACTTGAATAAAGTCATGCTAAGCGAGCACTTGTGGAAAACCTCTCTCCGTGTTATTAGTTAAGTTAGAATCACTTAACTCTACCTGTAGCCATTTTTAATCAGAGCATTGTAATGTCAATCAGACATTTAGGCACCATTTGACATCGACACAGTGTTCCAAAAATAATGACATTGAGTGTTTAAAACAATGTGGATTATTATTGGGGGTTTTTTATACTGTAGATCTTTCATGTTTTCTACTACATATTTCAGTAAGAGACATCATGTAGCACACAAGTCCTAATACCCAGGTTTCCCTTTAATCTGTAGAGAGCCTAAGTCCCGCCCCTCCGCTTCCGGCTCATGGGACCTTATTTCGAAAAAAATATGTATGGTAGTCAATGGCGAGAGACAACTTATCTTTTTATTCCATCTGAACTGTGCCCTCAATTACACACATGATGTTTGTCAAATTAAAAGATAATTCTGAAAGTCAAAAACGTCGCCGTTTGTCATAAAACAGAAGAGCAACATTTAGTTTTATGTTAAAATTGCTCAATGAACTACATCTCCCGGGAAGCGAAACAACGAGTGAGATCCGCTGCTCGTGTGTGTATGACGGCGCAACGTTACGATTATAACCGACTATAGAAACAATGACAGATGTTAGCCTCAGTAAAGTTAGCTTCATTCATTGAGAGAAAATGTGCGCCTTTGGGGTTTGTAGTCTTTGTAATTACGTATTTTCACAGGCTTATACCTCAACGGTTTCACATCAAACTGTGACTTTCTTTACTTTAAAATGTATCTTTTAAATTGACAAACATCATATGTGTAATTCAGGGCACAATTCAAACAAGATCAAAATATTTGTTGTCTCTCGCCATTGACTATCATACAATATTTTTCCGAAATAAGGTCCCATGCAGGGTTTCCAGATGCCAGCAAGGTTTTCCAGCCCAAAACCTCGTCAAAAACTGCGAGAATGCACAAAAAAACGCCCAATTTTTTTTGCCTTGTTTCTCGCTATGGTTTCTCGTTTAAACACATTAGAATCATTAACTAGTTATAAAATGACCTATTGGCCTGTGTGCTTTTACGTCCAATCATTTTTCTTTTTTTTGACCTGTAAATGAAAAATGTGATGTACTGTTGTATTTTTAAAATGCAAAGTTGAACACCAAAATTTGAATTTGAACTGCAAATGCTGCAGTAAAAAAATAAATACACATTGTATAATAAATAAAATAAATAGGCCTAGATAATAAACATTTATTTTTATATAATAAATAAAATATTAACGTGTTTATTTTGGCTCTTTATGAAACATTTAAAACATTCACAAATTTAAATGAAAAAAATTAAATTTTACTGGTTTTCTAAGGCCAAACCAGAGAATGTCTAATAGAATGTCCATAATAGATGGGCTCTGACCAAACCAGAAAAAAAAAGATATTTTTGTTTTAGGCTTTTTTTTTAATAGGCCTGTGAAGTTAAATATCTAAGCATTGTATATAAAGAAAAAAAAAAAAAAGTTTGTGCATATCGTACTTCACCAGTCTAAAAACGAATAAAGAAAGCATGTTTTCGTTATTCAATTACGAGTTATAAAAAGGGAAAAGGAATGGACGCAAAAGTACACCGGCCTTTGACTTAGTCTATCCGATTGCAGAAATCAAATGAACGCAAAAGTAGGCTATTCTAGCCTACTATTAAACTAGCTTATTTTATGTTAAATAATGTGAACAACTTAGGCATCAATAAATCTGTTTACTGTCAATAAAAGTCGTTTGGAACAAAACCATTCAGTAACATAAAAACATTGAGTGGATATGGACATACAAAATAACCCACTTTAAAGTTTAAATGATTACAATTAGCAGCATTCATAAATATGCCTATGCATGTTTTATAACATTAGGCTATATGAAAATCGAGTTGATTATAGAACAGGGCTGGGCTGAGAACAGAACACAATAACAAACAATAATTGTGTTAATACAAATATTCTGAATAACATGTTCAAAGCGATGTCACAAAAACAAATGTCGAATTGCCTGAGGTTATTCCCCGTCCGTCAGACAGTAAGGAGTGTGAGTTTTCTAAAATTGGTTTGAACAATTGTTATTAAGAATATTCTGAATTGATTAACACAAAAGCTCTAGAGTCAAACTTCTAAAACAACTGTCCGGGCAGATGGAATGTAGCTGATGTCAAGCCATTACGCGCAAGACCTGTGTGCACGGGGAGGTGCCGCCGTCGTGCGGTGAAGTGAGCTGAAGGGAGGCAGTGTCTGTTTTGGGTTTAGACTTGGGTGAGTGAGTGAGTGACAGAGAGTCGCTGAAAGAAGGATCTGAAGTACCGGTATTTCGGCTACAAAAACCCGCCGAACTGATCCGAAACCAGCCCAATTTTTATCCACCCGCCCAAACCCATTTTTGCCCGCTAAAAAGATTACAAAACCGCCCAATTGGGCGGGAAACCGCCCAATCTGGCAACACTGGTCCCATGGTGGTTTACCGGAAGGGGAACTTAGGAACTTAGGCTCTCTATATAATGCAGTCTGCTGGTCATTTGAGCTAAATAAACCCCAAAAGCGTGATCTGGGCACTGATGCAGTTTTATTTTGCTGTGTATAAGGTACTTTTCATACTTGAATAAATGAGAGGGTGAGAATATGTGGTATGATATCGGAGGTATTAAAATGCCTTGTGTTTGGTACCTGGATAGTTTATCTGATATTTAGCATTGCTATTTATGGAGAAGCTATCAGTATCATAAAAGCTGTGTACAGTTTTTATATTTTTATTGCCCGTGTAATAAATTTGTTATTTTTATCTGTTTGTTACAGGAGTGATGGACAGTCCCGTACTGGCACGCTGCTGTCGCAGCCTAATTGGCTGTAGACAGTGTGTTGACATATTGATTCAGGATGGTCAAGCTTGTGTCAAATGCAGGTCTCCCATTTCGGGGGACTCAATTGTTGTGGTTGCTGGCCTCTCTGAAGTTGTACACGTAATTAAGGCCTTAGATGAACAGTACAGCTCGGCCTGAGGTTGCAACGATAAAGAGGTTAAATACAATATAAAAGTGTTTTACCATGTTGTGTTTTTTGTAATAGTTCTTGATGCAAAGTCAATGCTTGTAATGTAACGTGTTGGTAATGCAAATATGTACACTAAAAATATACTAACTGAAGGATTTTTTTTTTTATTTTTTCATTGTATTAGGTTCGTTAATGGTTTTATAATAATTGTTGCAAGTAATGTTTACACTTTGTAATGCAAACACTTTAATGCATACCAATATGCATTTGTTAATAAATAAAAAAAATTGTTGTTCTTGAACATTTAATTTATTAGATTGTCGTTTGTCAGTACAAGTTTGTTTTGCTTTAAACCGACCAATACAAATCATTGAATTTTATCCAGAATTTCACTATTACACTTAATGTAACTGTTCTTGTAATATTTGAAACACTCCATGCAACAGTAGGCAAAATGATTAATATACAATGACATGACTTGATGTTGTGTTCATTATTACAATTACAACAAAATAAAGCAACTATGCACATCTTCTGGTGATGTTAATTAGCTCAGTTAAACAGTCCTGGAATGGGTGGTAATGCTCATTTACAGTACAGTTCAGTACATCTCCAAGGTCAATATAAAGAAAATTAAATTCTGTCTCTGCCCTAATTTTAGCCTCTACAGACTGGAATGGGTCAATACCAAACGATGATGGAGTGGTCAATCTCTGTCCCATTTCCTGATGGTACAGCTCAGCAGATTCTGATGCACTTGGCAGATATTCTGCTAAAATCCTTGTTTTGCAGCCATGTCTTGCCAGCAGATTTGGGATGCCTTTGCCTATAAATAAAGTTGAGAAAAAAATAAATACTGATAATTTTTAAGTAAATAATGCTGGTTCACTTTTTTTGCTCATACCTTTGACATTTTTCAGCAAACCATATTCTGGCAACTGAGTTATTGAATGAGTATGGTTTTGCATTACGTTAGCAATGAAATGGGTTATTTGGATTCTATTCAAGGTAAAAAGACATGCAGATGAACTTTGACTGTAAACCCAGCTAAATTCATTTTTGAGATTTACTTTTTTTATATTGTTTATTCATTGTAATATACATAGGAGAAAAAGTAATAGAACAAACAGTAGAAACAACAAATGACAAATACATTAAATAAAAAGATCAATGGTATTTAAATATAACAAACTAGTGGAAAATTCAGTACTGATGCATAGAAGGGAGAAAAAGTATAATATAAGTAATAAAATCAATGTCCTGTGGTTATAAATAGTCATACATTTTGTAATGCATATCTGTGAAGGCCAAAAGGTTGTCTATAAAAGGTATATATATTTTTCAAAAAGTACTGGCCTTGTTATTTAAGTTGTAAGTGTACTCTTGCAATCTTAATGTTTCATTTAAAAGTTGTTTACAAAGATCATGTTGGAGGCATTGATTGGTTCCGGTTGAGAAAACTTTTTTTTTTTTTTTGCCAAGTATGATAATACGCCAAGCCTCTTTACAGATATAGGGTCAAATCTCATATCTAATACTATACCAAAAAGATATTGTGCTGGTGTATTGTCCAATGAAGTTTGCAAAACCTTGGCTGTGAAATTCTGTATTGCTTTCCAGAAATATTTAAGTTTTCTACATTCCTAAAAGATATGCATCACTGATCCTATGTAGGTTTTACATCTGTGACATTTGGATGATACCTTTTTCTCAAAGGGGGATAAGGTAAATCCTATGCATACATTTATAGTTCTGTTCAGCTATTTTGTTACAAGAAAATGAGGGGAAAATATTCTGACATACAGCCCCCATTGTTCTTCATTGAAATTACATCCCAGATCTCTTTGCCACACATTTTAAGTGTTGTCAAGGAAGATTATGATAGTGTAACAATGCAGACTATATTTATCAAAATCTCCTCTATCCTGGACTACTTCCTAAATGGTTATCCTGCCTTATCAAGAATGGTTATCAAATGACAGATTTAACAATACTTGCATAAAACCATACTACATAATCTAAAGAACAGTCTTTGTAAATAGAACCATGATACCTTAATATTGCAGGGGTGTGATGAGACTCCTATCTCACGAGATGAGACTAGACTTTTTTTTTTATCCTTTTATTTATAGGGAAAAATAGTATTTTATTTTTTATTTAAAAACACAAAATGCATGTGCATTTTGATATGAACTTGTACTTTATGAAATAAAATTCATATTTGTTGTATTATTTTTTGTAATAAACATGTGAACTAAAGCTCCACGATTCTGGATCAATTGAAATTTTTTTATTTAAATTGGAGATCACGATTCTCTCATGACTCAAAAATCGATTCTCTCAAAAATCTATTAAAAAAATAAATAAATGAAGGAGACAGCGTCTCAATTAATAAAGACTTGTTTCACTATTGCAATCTCCTGAATAGATGATTCAATGATAAATACTTTCTTAACCTACAGTTGTCACCACTTCCTGGCAGAAGAGGATAAGTGTAACAATACAAGTGATTTTCATTTTTATCGCTAATGTAGACAATAAGTGTTTATAACTAAACTATAAACTTTATAATCATATTTAAATGATTAATCTAGCAGCTCTAATGTAAACAATGCAAAGTGTTTTGCAAGGAAATAGGCACGTTCTTGTGAGATCAGTCAGATACAGCGAGACACGTCGGATCTCACACGATCTCGTGCCACGAGATCACATCACATCCCTATAATATCGCATAAGGTCACGTCAAAGATTGAAATCAGCTGTTTTCCCATAATTAGATTATGAGACTTTAGTCTGAATTTCTAAATGCTTTGTTATCTTCTTTGGCTAAAAGTGTCTGCAAGTTGTCCCAATGTAAATTAAAAGACCCTTTTTTGTGTAAATGTAAAAACACTGTCCAGCATACCTGTAATATTATGACAGTTCCATGCATGAACAAATCTCTGCACTCCAATCTGGCTGATCTGGCAAGTAAGATTGGACACACAGTACCTCATCAACCCATCCTCCATGTCCAAAGACTCCTGGTCAACCATTTGGATGAGTGCACTCTTGATTGGGAAATTGACCCGCTTATTTACTTCAGGCCACATTCTCTCAACAGTGTGGTTCTGTGGATTAAAAGAACAATGTACACAATGTAAAGCGTAATTTAAAATAAGAAAGTATAAAATGTTCTGACAAAACAGAACAACTGCTACATCATAAATGGATTATTATAAATAAGCTATTTATGCCACATACATGCATCTAGGGCTGAAGTTGTAATTACTGTTTCTATTTATAATTGTACTTACATTACCGGTATTCAGTAATTCTAAAGTTTAGATAGACCTACAAATTATTTTTCCCTTCTTTTTTAATCTCACTTTAGTTGATGTTGTCTGGAGGTAAGGTAGTCTCTGCTGGTTATGTCTGTATTCTGCCAACATTTCCTGCATGAAGAGGGTTAGGTAAAATTCTGTGCCATGGTCCACTCTGACCTGGTCCCACATCCCATGGGAAAGGACAGCTTTTCTAGGAATAATTAAAAACTAAAGTTAGAATTAAACATTAAGGTACACAAAAACTATGAAAATATGATAATATAATATTTCATCTTACTTGTACACCTCTTCATAAATGGTTAAATTGTTCTTTATTGGCATAGTGGAATGGCCAACAATTTTCTTGCTGAAGCCATCAATTGCAATAACATGTGTGACACCAAACATGCAAAGCTTTTCATTTTGGTCCATATGGAGTTTGTGACCCACATACTCTGCATTGTATGGGACCGGATTCAAATTCCGTGCTCCCTGAAATAAAATTTAATTAGGTTACATACAGTTCTTTTAGAAAGTATGAAAGTAGTAAGCTTATTAACATTCTGCACTAGTTAGTTTTTACTAGTAATAGTTTTTTTTCCCCCCTTACAACAGAATGCAATGGAAACAGCAAAAATTTGCAACACCACACTCGGGTATTATCTATACGTATAAAGGATGATGACCAAACAGACACTGATGTATGATTCCACATTGAATAATTATTTACATGCAAAGACATGACAATGTGTTTAACTTAATAAGCAATGTATTATCCCATCCAACTCTACCTGGCATCGAGCCCGGTGATATGGTTCATGCATTTGTGCCAATGTCTGTCCCACTCTGACCTCTGATGCATTAACACCTTGTGCAGCAAGGTAGCCCGTCATCATTTTACGCCCGTAATATGGTCCAGTCTGTGTAAAAAAAATAAATAAATAAAAAGATTAAGATATATATATATATATGTACACACATGTAGTGAATATTTTTCAAATGCTATTTTTTAATGCATTTTACAACATTTAACCTAACTCTATTTGTTATTCAATTAAGTATTAGAGTTTTATTGACAGGCAATCTGACTAATCAAATGCTAAATTTTGTCAACCAAACAGGAGTTTAATGGATTAACATCAGTGGACTTGAACTCGAAATTTTTGTTTTTGTTTTTTTAGTTTAAATAATATCATCATTCATGAACATTTTGTGTTAGTACAAAGAGATTATCGGTTCACGTGACATTTGAAAGAATATTTAAATGATATTACATTTTAAATTTGAAAGTATATAAAATATAGACATATTTCATACATATGATAGACCCTGAATCCTGATAAACTTCTGAGTATTACTGGACTATCACATACAGCCTCATCATACAGCATCTTTGAGGGTGATTTGCAACAACCTTATTAATTACCTATAAAGATTATCTATAAGAATTCTGAAATATGGTCACTTGCGCATAAAGTTACATTAAACAATTTCAGGAAAAATGCTTACCTTTACAACTGCTCGTGAAACCGCCAACTCTAATTCCTCGTCGGAGAAGCATTTTCTTTTAAGACCTCTTTCAGAACGGAATTTTCTTATATTTCTCTCTGAATTCCCCCTCTGCATTCCTAGCTCTGATAAATGCAATGATATTTCTGTGTCTGTGTGTCCATTTTCATACATAGTCGTTATAAGATCTTCATGTATCGATAAACTCATGGCAACATCCATTCAAACCTCAAACTCACGCGGGTTTCTTCTTCTGGTGTTTAACGTATAAATGTACATTAGCGCCACCTACTAATCTGAGTGGGAGTGCGTATGGAACAAGAGACAATAAGAAAGATGAGGAAGAATTAAAATAAATAACACATTATATCCATAACTACTGTTTTTTTGTTTTTGTTTTTTTGTTTAGAAATGTAAATAATATTTTAAGTCTTGATCCGTTTCCTAATAATACTTTTAGTACAACTTTATCAATTCCCAGCCATCTTATTAATGAATTAACTGTCGAGAGAATTGACGTCTCTCCCTTATGCAATATACTCAAAACAATATACTGTACAACATACTGTAATATACTGTATAACAATTTCTCAATGCAATCTGTTTACGTAAAACTTTTAATTTGAAAATTTTAAACGATTGCCCCGCCTCTTACGTCTCGAGCCTCTTGCTTTCTATGTGTATTGATAGTGATGTGCTGGGAAAACAGGCAGGAAAGTTTTGCTTTGCGAGTTATCCATCGTGTGTTGGTAAACGGCGTGTGCATTATCTGCTCTGCCGATTGCTAGACGGGATTGGCAAACGGTTTGCCAGAATATACCCTGACCGCTGATGAGGGAGTGAATTCAGGTGTGCAGACAAGAGGATCATGGGAAGTGTGGTGCAGATGACGGGACAAAACAGGTGAGGACGACAGACTGTGACAGTTTTGTTCTGAAAAACAAAGCGTCGACTTAGTGGACCACTCGTGTATTATGTGCAGCGCTATCAGAACCGTGATGACATGGGGGATTCATACCTGTGAAGGCGGCCTCCAGGTCGTCGGGGGTCCACAGCGCTGGCACAGGATACACGTAAGAAAAGAGCTCATCTAAAAGACAAACCGTCTGTTTTAGTCATCAACAATCATTAACAATTATCGATGATCACCGATATCAGGATTGTGGCGATCGGCGGATCCATACCGAGTAGCTCCTGCATATCATCGTTGTGCCCAGACTCGGGTGGCGGCACCTGAGGCAGCGCCGGCTCCAGGGACCGGGCCTCGGCCGGGGAGCCATCGGCCTGGGAGAAGTCGGGGACCATGGGGACGGCTGGGTTGCTCAGCCGCAGCGCCTGAAGCTTCCCCACGGTCACCGACTTCTCCAACGCCCTCACCACCCTCAACCTCGAGCTGGTCTGAAATGTAGAAAAACAGACGATGGCACTCATTATACCAACGACAAACATACAGCCGTATCACACACCGATTTAAAACACGGGGTCAGTTTTAACGCAGACTTACCGTCAGGTCCCGGTGACCCTTGAGGAGATGTTTCTCCGGGTACCTGACGACCTTGCCGCAGAGCAAACAAGCCAAATCCATCAGCTTTACTCTGCGGCGGGCATATTTAACTATTATGCCCCTCTGCTCGAAGTTGAGCATGGCGTGGACGCCCCTCAGGTGCTCGCTAATATATGCCATCCGAGCTGGGCACATGGGACATCGAACATCTGTGAGAAAAAATGTGCCAAAAAAGTCAAAACACACACACACACACACACACATTTTAACTATTTATTTAAGTCCACTTGAAAGAAATGATTTACAGGGACATAAACACACACACACACACACACACAGCTTATGACACAAAACTGATGTGTAACAAACCATTTGTAACATTTTGCCACGGCCAACATGTCAACTTACCCTCTCTTAAACTTTTCGGCATCTTTAAAGGATGAAAAAAAAAACCCACACACTTTAATCAGCTAAAATCATTAAAGACAATTCAATCAATAAAAATGACAGGCCTTTGGGGGAACTTGACATTAAATAACTTCCCTGGACTGATCAATTTAGGCCCAAAGGTTAACCCTATCATTAAATGGTTCATTAAATCATTAAATCACAATTCAATCAATCAAATTTACAGTCCTTCATGGGAACTTGGCATTAAATAACTTCCCTGGACTGATCAATTTAGGCCCAAAAAATAAACTAAACAGTAATACACGTGTTACAAAGCACAACACGGGACTTCGTGTGTGGTACAATATCATGGCACAAAGCACTTTAAAGTACAATTTAAAATAATTCACGAGTGCATAAGCTAAAATATCAGAGAGGAGGTTAGAGAGACTCACCGTGCATCAGACTACCAGCAAATGGGATTATTTTAGTGAAAATGACACTTCCCACGCCCTCTAACCAATCAACACCATCCATTATTGTCACGACGACTGATAAACAATCTTCAGTCCTGACAAATGTGTACAAACAGAGCTCGGCTTTCCCGGAAGGAGAGGGAGAGGTGGAGATCCCAAGGACTCTGTCTCTACTGTGGCCGGGCGGGCCACTTCATCCACTCCTGCCCGGTAAAAGAGCAAGCCCGGTAGTAAGTATGAGGCTACGGGATCTCCGCCGAGAAGACCTCATCAACATCAACCCTCCTCCCGGTAAGACTGAGATGGCAACAATCAACGCACTGCACCAGCGCACTTCTGGATTCGGGAGCGGAGGGTAATTTCATGGACTTCAGACTAGCACATAGACTTCAGATCCCCGTCACCCCCCTCTTGCACCCAATTATCGTCAACGCACTCAATGGTCAAGAACTTCCCCGCATCACTCACGTTACTGAAGACATTACCCTCATCACTTCCGGAAATCACACTGAACTCATTTCATTTTTTCTCATGGACTCACCACTTGCACCAGTGGTTTTGGGTCACCCGTGGCTTTCCAGACACAACCCCCGTGTCGACTGGTGCACTAACACTGTTTCCACATGGAGTAACCACTGTCATGAGTCCTGTTTAGTGTCTGCCTGTCCATCTGTGTCTGGTTCTGTGTTTCAGAGTGAGGTAGCGAATTTGTCTAACGTGCCCGCTTTTTTTAAAGATTTTTTTTAGATTGTCTAACGTGCCCGCCGTTGATGTCTTCAGCTTTCGAGAGGTTGCAGGGAGCATCCATTTTCACGAAACTGGACTTGCGTAATGCATATCATTTGGTCCGCATCAGGAAGGGGGATGAATGGAAAACCGCTTTTAATACCCCTAGGGGGCACTTTGAATATTTGGTCATGCCTTTCGGTCTGTCCAACTCCCCAGCGGTTTTCCAGGCACTCGTTAATGACGTGTTGAGAGACATGGTAGATCAGTTCATATATGTTTACCTGGATGACATATTGATTTTTTCTTCGTCTCTCCAGGAACACGTGCAACACGTCAGGCGAGTGCTCCAGAGACTGTTGGAGAATGGGCTTTTTGTCAAGGCGGAGAAATGTTCGTTACATGCACAGTCTGTTCCCTTCCTAGGGTACATCATCTCTTCTGAGGGAGTGCGCGTGGATCCTGACAAGGTTAAGGCTGTGGTAGATTGGCCAAGTCCAGATTCCCGTAAGGCCCTACAGCGGTTTCTGGGGTTCGCCAATTTTTACCGACGTTTCATTCGTAACTTCAGCCAACTAGTCGCGCCTCTGACTGCCTTGACCTCCCCCCGAACGACGTTCAGGTGGTCAAACACTGCTGAGGCAGTGTTCACCAACCTCAAAAGTCGCTTTGTTTCAGCTCCCATTCTTGTCACCCCTGATCCCACACGTCAGTTCGTGGTGGAGGTCGACGCGTCAGAGGTGGGAGTAGGAGCAGTACTTTCACAGCGCGCTTCCTTAGACGACAAGTTGCATCCCTGCGCGTTTTTTTCTCATCGACTATCGCCTGCCGAACGTAATTATGACATTGGTAATAGAGAGTTGTTGGCAGTTAAGTTAGCGTTGGAGGAATGGCGTCATTGGTTAGAGGGTTCGGGGGTACCCTTTATCGTTTGGACCGACCATAAGAATCTTGAATACATCAGATCTGCTAAAAGACTCAACTCTAGGCAGGCTCGGTGGGCTCTTTTTTTCGGACGCTTTGATTTTGTTCTCTTGTACCGCCCCGGGTCCAAAAACATCAAACTCGACTCTTTATCTCGTATTTTTGATCCATCCGAACGCCCGGTGACTCCTGAGTGTATTTTACCTGAGAAGGTTGTCATCTCCACTCTGGTATGGGAGGTCGAATCGAAGGTCATGACAGCCTTAGATGGGGTAACGCCTCCGCCCGGTTGCCCACCGAGTCGATTGTTTGTTCCGGAGGGGTTACGGTCTCTCACCCGCCTTCCATGTGTCTAAAATCAATCAGTAACACTTTATTTGAAGGGGTGTGCATAAGACTGACATGACACTGTCATAAACATGACATAACACCTGTCATGAACATGAAGGAGTCTTTATGAATGACTGTTGTCATTAACTGCCATTCGGTAAATTATGACACTTTTAATGCAAAGTTGACATTGTTTAAAATGTCTTTGTTATGAAAACTTGACATTAACAAAGACAAAAATTTATTTGTTAGGACAACTTGACATTAACCAAGAAATTATGACCTGTCACAAATATGTCTTTACAGGTCTAATTATCAAACTTAAATAAGTTATTTAGCTTTTTAACATTACATTACCCTGTCATATGTTATGGTTGGTTTTAACTTTGGCTGTCATGACACCATTATAACTGTGACATGAATATTTTACTTGTCCTCAAGTAAAGTGGAACACATTGTACTAGTTATAAAGATATCATTAAGGGTTATTACACTGTCAAATGCTTTAACAACAGTGTCATTAATATTTCCCCTTACCTCAAGTAAAGTGGAACACGTTGGACTAGTTATGATTTCTTGGTTAATGTCAAGTTGTCATAACAAAGAAATTTCGATCTTTTTTAATGTCAAGTTGTCATTATCAAGACATTTTTGTCTTGGTTAATGTCAAGTTGTCATAACAAAGACATTTTAAACAATGTCAACTTTTTGTGGCAAAGTGTGTTGTGCAGCTCAAATGGATTTGATACTATCTCCGACTACGAGGAATTTCACCCCACGAATTGAGATGGGTATAAATGGAGGATGGAGCCAGCTGCAAATGGGTGGGTTAGCAGCAAGTGGGTGGAGCTTTAGCCGCAAGTGGGCTGTACAAACTTCTAGAGGATTTTGATTGGTTTATTTTAATATCACCTGTGTTGTAATAGCTCCACGGTTGGTGGCGGTAATGTGTAAATTTTGTTGCGATCCATCAGAAAACAAAGAAGAAAACCACTTTCACATGTCAGCCGTCAGCGTGCTGTTGAGATGAAGGGGTAAGCGTGTACATTTTTTCGTTTTTTAAAAATAGCATTACACAGCAAAATCCCCAGGGTTAAATTAACACTGAGAGTGTTAAATTAACACCGAGAAGTGAGAATTATATAAACTCTGAGCAGAGTGTTAAATGAACACTGAATCAGTGTTAAAGTTAATGAGATAATTAAGTGAATAATTGAATGATGATTGAGCATCATTGAAGACACCTGATGTTAACAAGCAGAATCACTGAAGGAGAAAAACAGATATTTTAAGTCACCATTATGGAGATTAGTGTTTGGTTTAGTTGGGCTCTTGACCCTTAATTCTTTAACTTTAGATTTTGTCTGGCTGTTGTCTGTGACTTATAACAGCCAGATGAAAAAAGGTGATCTGATGGTGTTGGTTGTGTTTCAACAATTGACCTGAATTGCTGAACTTGTCAAGAGCATCAATTCTAAGTTAAAATTACCTTAAGGATTTTAGCAGCATGGTCATTTTAGGACATACCATTTTTAACCTTTTCAATGAAAAATTATTATAAAAAAATGTAAAAATATCCCAAAAATATTTTATAAAGGCATACACAGACATCAAGAATTAACACACTAATCTCAACAGATCACCTCTGAACATAAGCTCATTATTTATTCATGCAGCAATGCATGATGGGAGCCATGAATGAGTTTTGATTGGTGGCACCAATAATGCAACATGCTTTATAACTGTTACCATTGTTGAGATTCACAGGCTAATTATTGATGTCTCTGTGTCTTACCATTGTAAAGAACTAAAAAATTATATAAGAAAAGCTTTTAAGAAATTATTTTTAATATTCTGTAGATATTGAGAATATTATGCTGCACAAGGTCACTGCTGCTATAATTAATAAAGTAAACCTCATTCTATATGAATTCAGTGATTCGGGTTAAATGATTGTGTTAAAACACATCACCATCAGATCACCTTTTCTATTTGTTCATCTGGCTGTTATAACTCATGTACAGCAGCCAAACAAAATCTAAAGTTAAAGAAATAAGGGTCAAGAGCCCAACTAAAGCAAACACTAATCTCCATAATGGTGACTTAAAATTCAGTTTTTCTCATTCAGTGATTCTGCTTGTTAACATCAGGTGTCTTCAATAATGCTCAATCATCACTCAATTATTCACTTAATTATCTCATTAACTTTAACACTGCTTCAGTGTTCATTTAACACTCTGCTCAGAGTTTATATAATCCACACTCTCAGTGTTAATTTAACACTGGGGATTTTGCTGTGTATAAGTTCTGAAAAAGACCATTTTATAATGTTGTTTGTACACTGTTTTTAGTCTTGATTAAATGAATGTAAAGAATATGGGTATAAAGTGTATCCAAATGAATTTCTGTATTTTTTTTTAGTTGCACACAAATTACAAAATCTGTAACGTGCATGACGAGATCTTTTCTGCATTTCATTTCTACAGTTTTCTCTCCAGATTATGGATTCTGAAGACCATAATAGGGTATTGTAGCAGTTTTTGTACGTTTTAGGACTGCATTGATTTTCAAAATGTAAATGTCTTAAATGTTTTGTAAATGGATTTGATATTAGAATAATGTGATAACTCCTAATTTAATTGTACAATGCATGCAATTCTATTAAAAGTTGTTTTCATTGTAGTTATGCTTTTTTCTGCGTAGGCCTAATCCACAATGTAATGTAATGCAATTGAAACATTTATTTTAATATCAGAAGAAGAAAGAATGCTCTTCTATAAAGAAGAAGAATGCTCTGCACACCCAGAGAAGAAAAAAACTGAACTTGCATTTGAAAGCAAGAACTTTTATATGAAACAAAATACACACCCAATGCTGGCTTTCAAATTATGTAACTATAATATTGGTCAGCTCATTTTAAATTACTAAGTTTTAGCAGGCCAAACCCCTGTTGTGCCCTCTGTTTTTAGCAAGGTATGCATAATCAATTTTAATGATGATTAAAAATGTGTATCATACAATTTTAATCCACTTATATTTTTTTTTAAGGATGAGCTGTTAAAAGACGATGACCCTCCATCATGCTTCATCTTCAAGGTAGTTGAAGAATGTTATAAAATGTGCTTTTTAACATTTTTTTAACGGCCTGTGCTGACTGTTGCTATATTTTCAGTTATCAGGAGTTTTGCTGAAGAACATACTTCTTGAAGTTGTTATTCAAGAAGGAGATGCTGCCTACATGCCCCTGTCATTGGCTTCCTTAAGGTTCAGGGACATAGTTGGGGATGACAATTTCAGGAATCAGGCACACTTCTTATGGCTAGAAAGTAAATTTTGACAATAAAAAATAAAACGCATAACAAGAACATCATTGATAATGTTAAATGTTATGCTCATTTATTTTCCCCATCAGGTGTTACATGCTGGAAAAATAAGTCGTCTTACTACAAACAGCTCTTCTGGAGGATGTACTCAATCTCCACTTGTTTGGAGTGTGGGTTTGACTACAAATGCTGCACACCTGGTATGTTTTGTGTAAATTGGTGATGAATAAACTAGTTGTTAGTCTAAAGAACTAAAAAAAACTAAAAACTAAAAATCAAATTTACTTGTCATCCCTTCGAGTTTAAAAGTTCTGGACACCATTCACTTGCATGGCATTGGCATGGACATACAGAGCTGAGAAATTATTCTTAATGTTTGTAAATGTTCAATGTCAGCTATAAACCCTATAGTTCTTATTGTGCTTCTTGTGTATCCACCAGGTTATGCTGGGAGGGGAAAGCGAGGCGAGCTCCAGGGCATTTATTCAGAAACCTTCCAACCTGGATTTTGCCGTTTTCACTGCATGCAGATCAGTTCTAATGAGCTGTTATAGTGTCCTTACTTACTGTAGAATTGTACAATATGAGGCTAATATTTAGAAATATGCTTGAATAAGGCCAGCAGCCTGATGAATTTAAAACACCATCACTTGTCTAAGTATATATGGTTAAAAGGTTTAAAGACGTGACTTCATTGACAGTGAGAGGTATTGGACACACACAACAATAATAACAAAGCTGTAAGAAATCAGACCATGATGAGGAACGTAATATTTAAAAGTTTATTTTCATTACTGTCGCTACTTCCTGCCATACTCATTCACCGCCGTCTTCGGCAATGACAGCTTGGGGATTTCCACATAAGCTCCTCCCACTTGCGGAGTAAACTCCTCCTACTTGTACATTTGTGAAATCCATTCTACTTGCGGCATAAGCTCCTCCCACTTGTGGCGTAAGCTCCTCCCACCTGCAGGTCTCCGGGCTGCAGCGATACATACATGCAAGAATTTAACAACCCCTACTCAAAAGGCACACGCAGATACTAATCATGTGTAGCAGGAGGCCGCTCAAAGGGAGCAGAGCTCTAGTTATGGACGACTACGTTTACATCCTGTTTACAGGGAAATATTAATATTGTACATCTAAGACTTTACACAGGACACACAGGAACGTGAATATCAAGAAGGGTTAGAGACGTAGATACAAATAATACAAAAGTTTTATTTAAATACTCAAGAATTTTAAAAGATATAAAACCTGGGTCGTACTCATTCGCAATACAACAGAGACCACAAGATAAAGCAATAATACAGACGAACAAAAATAAGTAAAATGTACAGCAGCAAAACACGAACACTTGAACCGAACGCACACGCGCTCGCGAGGTAGTTGTCCAAACAAAACCGGGGTCGACAAAGCAGCAGCTTCAATTAGTGTTGCCCCGCACGCTTCATTGAACCACAGGCGGTGACCCCACACCCACAAATGTTAATTCGCTTCCTTTTAAACGCTCCCTTGAAGAATATGATTGGACAGTACATTACCCACGAGCGTTGTATAAAAAATAACGAGACTCTGTACGTCCCACTACACATGGATGAATCAGAGATAATGGTAGCCATACAAAAGTTTATTAATTGTTGAGACACAATAATTTTAAAAGGTGTTGACCAGCAATCTGTCACATTGTCTGGTTGTCCCAGACAGCAAACTGACATTGAATCAACGTGGAAACGACGTCTCTCATGACATTGAAACAACGTTGATTTTGCTCATCGAATTAACGTTGAACCAACGTCAGACGCGGCATTCTTCAAAGCTAAATGAAAATCGAAAATTGGTTTGCTTTCATAACGTTGAAACAACGCGTTGATTTCAAGTTGATTTTCCGTTAGTTTTGAAAGAATGTCTGACGTCTGACGTTGGTTCAACGTTAATTCGATGAGCAAAACAATGTCAGATCAACGTTGTTTCGATGTCATATTTCCACGTTGATTCAATGTCAGTTTGCTATCTGGGGTGTTCCCTTGTTTGTCACTAGAGGTCCTCGTTATCATTGTGTCCTTCACTATTGACTTCATTTCCCAGCATTCTGTCTGTCACTGTCACTCATAAGTTCAATGCACTCAGCTGTTCCCCGTAATCATTGTTCCCTTTCGTAGTCACTTCGAGTTACGTCAGAAGTGACGGAGATTGGGGGGTTTCGCATAGAAAGCCAATCCTCTTCGAGTATTTAAAAACGAGCCAATGGCATGCAATGCCTTGGGGCTGCGGAAATTTGCATAGCGTACTCCGCCCTACTCCGTGAGTATAAAAGGAGGAAGTGAACGCAACCGCAGTATGTTTTCGCTTCGGAGCCAAGAGAACTTTTCACTCCTGAAAGCCATTCTCACTGTTTCAAGACTCTTCGAGATGAGCGTCCTCTTCAGTGTTGGTGTGACGGCGGTACCCAGCGAGTTTCTGCATTGCCTGCGATCTGAGCAGTGGTCTGCCAGACTTTGCACTTCTCCCTGGTCGCCTCAGCATTAAAGAGTGAATTTCCTCCTCTCATTGAAAGAGCAGCACGCGGCACGACCTTTTAAAGATGGCTCGCCCGTGCTCTTCTGGGTGTGGTCGATTCATATCATCATCTGTTGGTCACGATCGCTGCTCTGTATGCCTGGGCATTTAGCATGCAGCAGCAGCGTTCGTGGATGACTCATGTTCCTTCTGTGGGAACATGACCATCTCTACACTGAGGTCGAGACTCAATGATCTGACAAAAGTGAGAGTCCCGGTCCCCGCCACTCGATCAGCTTCTTCCACGAGAAGCTCGTCGACTCGGGGACCCGGTGTTTTGACGTGACGGTGTGGAATAAAGCCCCGACGATTCCTCGGGCCACACCTCCCGCCTCAGTGGCAGAGCCAGCGAGCGCCAGTTCGATTCAGTCGGCTGTCTCTTCGGGGGCGCCGGCAGTTTCGTGCGACGCTCCAGATGATGATGCAATGTCAATCACAGCATCACAAGGCGAGCTTGATTCCTCGGGAGATGAGGATGCGGCTGCGTTGCCTCCTTCGGGAGTGCCAGCGTTGCCCGTGTCTGATCCCGAGCTGTCGGCCATGCTGTCTCGAGCCGCTGGGAGTATCGGGTTAGAGTGGAACCCTCCGCCCTGCCCCGATCTCTCGCGGATGGATGATTGGTTTCTGGACAAAGCTGCCGCCGCAAGGCCACGGCCGACTCCATTGCCTTTCTTCCCCGAGCTGCATGCGCGTTCCTATAGAGCGGCGGGACAGGCGGCCTCCGCTTTGCATGCGATGAGCACTTTGCAGGTTTTTCAAGCGAAGCTGCTCAGAGATATGCACGAGGGCGGGACTGACCAAACGGCATTTAAGGATCTGCGAGCCGCCACTGACCTTGCTCTCCGGGCGACGAAGGTGGCCGCTCGCTCTGTTGGTCAGGTGATGGCCACCAGTGTGGTCCAGGAGCGTCATCTCTGGCTCAACCTGGCAGACACTCGGGACGCCGAACGGACTCGTCTGCTCGACGCCCCACTCTCCCAGGTTGGCCTTTTCGGCGGTGCGGTCGAGGACTTTGCCCAGCAGTTCTCGACTGCCCAGAAGCAGACAGAGACGATTAAATATATTCTGCCCCGACGGCCAGCTGCTGCCTCCACCCAGCCGTCGGTACAGACGCCTCCCTCTGCTCGCCGCCGAGGACGTCCCCCTGCGGCTCCCCTCCCTCCCACGTGGCCCCAGCAGCAGCCTTCATCCGGGCCGCGGCGTGGAGGAGGCCGCAGGCAGGCGTCACAGCCCCCTCAGGCCGCACGCCCCGCTAAACGCCAGGCAAAGCGACGCCCCTGAGACGGGCTGCTCAGTGATGAAGTCGAGTTTTTCCCAGGAGGCGGTAGCAGGCCCCCTCCTTCCCCCGGTGGAGGGCCGGGGGAGAATCTTTTGTTCTCAGCTCCCCGCTGCTCACCCACGGGTGGGCAGCACCCTGAGTTGGTTAAAGAAAGACTTGACATCATCACTGAGCACACAGACCGGCATGGGTGGGCTCGACGTCCCAGTGCGTCAGCCCACTCGTTCCTCTCTGTCTCTGAGGGTGCGGAAGGGAGCGTGTGTCGTCCCTCGACTACGCCACTCCCTTCCCCCTCTGTCGCCAGACCCCCGGCAGAACAGACCCCCGAGGAACGCCCTGCCTTCCCTGGTCTCTTCTGTCAGGGAGCGGGCTTCGACGGTGCATCCGGGCGGGGTAACTCCTGCGCGCATGCCGGTCGACCCGCCTCGCTGCCCCTCCGGGGGGACGTCTGTGGTTCTGATGACCCCGCTGGTACACTTCCTGGAGGCTTGGCTAGAGCTTCCCGGGCTGTCCCGCTGGGTCATCAGAACGATCAGATTCGGCTACGCGATTCAGTTCGCACGGTCTCCTCCCCGTTTCAGGGGAGTTCGCTCCACGATGGTCGGTGGCAACGCCCCGGTCATGAGAGCGGAGATTGCGACCCTGCTGGCGAAGGGTGCAATCGAGACGGTCCCTCCAGCCGAGATGAGGTCCGGGTTTTACAGCCCCTACTTCATTGTCCCCAAGAAGACCAGTGGGTTACGACCGATCCTGAACCTGCGCATTTTGAACCGTTCTCTCCATCGACTACCGTTCAAAATGCTCACAGCCAAACGCATTTTCGAATGCGTTCGGCTTCAGGATTGGTTTGCAGCGATCGACCTGAAGGACGCGTACTTTCATGTCTCTATTTTGCCTCGACACAGACCGTTTCTTCGGTTTGCTTTCGAGGGCCAGGCATATCAGTACGCAGTTCTCCCATTCGGGTTAGCTCTGTCCCCTCGCGTCTTCACGAGGATCGTCGAGGCAGCCCTTGTTCCCATTCGCGAACACGGGGTTCGCATCCTGAACTATCTCGACGACTGGCTGATACTGGCTCACTCTCGAGAACAGCTTTGCGAACACAGAAACTTGGTGCTCCGGCACCTAGCCCGTCTGGGCCTTCGGGTCAACCGGGAAAAGAGCAAACTTTGCCCCGTGCAGAGGATCTCTTTTCTCGGCATGGAGATAGACTCGGTCGCCATATCCGCGCAGCTCACGAGTGAGTGCGCGCACTCACTGCTGACTTGTCTTCGACAGTTAGAGGGCAAGAGTGCGGTTCCACTGAAACTATTTCAGAGGCTCCTGGGGCATATGGCATATGGCAACGCCGCTCAGTTTGCTTCATATGAGACCGCTTCAGCTGTGGCTTCGCGATCGAGTCCCGAGGTGGGCATGGCATCGCGGCTCGCTCCGAGTTCCAGTGACTCCAGCGTGCCGCCGAACCTTCTTCCCGTGGTCGAACCTCAGTTTTTTACGGACCGGCGTCCCTATTCAGCGAGTTTCCAGGCATCTCGTTGTCTCCACGGATGCATCTACCACGGGTTGGGGTGCCATGTGCAATGGGCATGCAGCCGCGGGTTCCTGGACAGGACCCCAGCGCCTCATGCACATCAATTGCCTCGAGCTGCTGGCAGTACGCCTGGCCCTGCACCGCTTTCGAGCGTTGCTCAGGGGTCAACATGTGCTTGTCCGGTCAGACAACACCACGGCAGTAGCGTACATCAACCACCAGGGGGGTCTACGCTCACGCCGGTTGTCGCAGCTCGCCCGCCACCTCTTGTTATGGAGTCAGAAGCACCTGAGGTCCCTTCGTGCAGTTTACATTCCAGGAGACCGGAACCTGGCAGCCGACGAGCTGTCACGGGTCCGCCCTATCTCTGGCGAATGGCGACTCCATCCCCAGACGGTCCAGCTGATTTGGGACCAGTTCAGGGAGGCACAGATAGATCTGTTTGCCTCCCGGGACTCATCCCACTGCGCTTAGTTTTATTCCCTGACCGAGGGTACGCTCGGCTCAGATGCACTGGCGCACAGCTGGCCGCGGGGCCCACACAAGTATGCGTTTCCCCCAGTGAGCCTTCTTGCACGGGTGTTGTGCAAGATCAAGGAGGACGAGGAGCAGGTCTTGCTGGTAGCCCCCTATTGGCCCACCAAGACGTGGTTCTCCGAACTCATGCTCCTCGCGACAGCACCTCCTTGGCCTATTCCTCTGAAACGAGATCTACTCACTCAGAGACGGGGCACTCTGTGGCACCCTCGTCCCGATCTTTGGAGGCTGCACGTGTGGCTCCTGGACGGGACGAGGCAGGTTTGAGTTCGCTGCCACCTGCGGTGGCGGCAACCATCACTTCCACTAGAGCGTCGTCCACGAGACACCTTTATGCGTTGAAGTGGAACCTCTTCGTCAACTGGTGCTCTTCTCGCGGAGAAGACCCCCGGAGATGTTCGAATCGGGGTCGTGCTTTCCTTCCTGCAAGAAGGGTTGTAGCGCAGGCTGTCGCCCTCCACCCTTAAGGTTTACGTCGCGGCCATTGCCGCTTCTCATGAAGCAGTGGAAGGTAAGTCCTTAGGGAAGCACGACCTGGTCATCAGGTTCCTGAGGGGAGCGAGGAGGCTACATCCACCTCGTCCTCCCCTCGTACTCTCTTGGGACCTCTCGGTAGTTCTAAGTGCTCTGCAGAGGCATCCTTGAGCCTTTGCAATCAGTAGAGTTAAAGTTTCTGTCCATGAAGACAGCACTCCTGGTTGCATTGGCCTCCATCAAAAGGGTGGGGGACCTGCACGCATTCTCCGTTGACGAAGCGTGCCTGGAGTTCGGGCCGGCTTACTCTCACGTGATCCTGAGACCCCGGCCTGGATATGTGCCCAAGGTTCCCACCACTCCCTTCCGGGACCAGGTGGTGAACCTGCAAGCGCTGCCCCTGGAGGAGGCAGACCCAGCCTTGGCACTGCTCTGTCCGGTACGTGCTCTCCGCACCTACGTCGACAGAACGCGGTGTTTCAGGACCTCAGACCAGCTCTTTGTCTGTCATGGGGGGAGCCAGAAGGGAAGGGCTCTCTCAAAGCAACGGCTGTCCCACTAGATAGTGGACGCCATTGCTTTGTCTTACCAGCAGCAAGGCCGTCCGTGCCCCCTTGGTGTGACGGCCCATTCCACTCGGAGTGTGGCCTCCTCTTGGGCTCTAGCGCACGGCGCCTCGCTAACAGACATCTGCAGAGCTGCAGGCTGGGCGACACCCAACACCTTCGTCAGATTCTATAATCTGCGAATTGAGCCGGTGTCCTCTCACGTAC